ATGAAGTGCAATTTGAAGGTCCTGATGTAGTCTGTTGATTTTCCTCACCCTACACGAGCCCACCTGTTAGCGTGTACAGGCATTTGGAAACTGCACCTTGTCAACACCTCTGGGTGGGATCCGATTGCACGGTGCACTCAGCTTATACTGAGCATCTGTAATGACTGTTGTTTAGACCCCAAAGCCCAAATTTTGATCTTGGAATGCATCTTGATGTGTTTGAGTGTGTATGGGAAGTTGCGCTGGAGCACCAAGAAATATTTCGACGGGCTGCAAAGCTGATGCGACACGATTGTGTTCTGTACTGCAACTGGTTCCTATAGACCCATGCTGGCGGAGTTGAATATACACTTGCTTATCTCCTTGTCTGCAGCAGTTATTAGGTTCTGAGAGACTTGTCTGCTTTTCTCAAATAGCACCTATAAATTTGAATTGGATTACTACCAGTAGTTCGCAGACTGTAGTCGTGGAAGAAATTAGCGTAGTTGGAAAAGAGAATTTCCCCGAATTTATGCTAGTCCTCTTTGAAAATATCTCGCGTTCCTGACTGGAGTCGCAGAAGGTTCTTCTAGGAACAAAGAAGGATGGATGTGCTTTGTTACCTGTGCATTTTTTATGATAAGTTTCTTCTCAGTGGAAGGGAACCTAAAAAATCGGAAGGTCGCTCTGCAATTTTTTTACATTCCGTAGACGGTGAAAAAAAAACCACGTGATAGTGTTGGCATACTGTGGCGTGATCTTTCCATGTGTTTTTCGTGTTTACAGCACCAATGTTCATCTGTCCTTACACTCCGTATGTCGGAGATGAGGAAGGTGTTAGCGTCCATTTTTCGTGGACTAATCCCGTTTGGGACAGCCGTCATCCAGAATTGTGGTGAACAAAGACGATTTCAACTGTTGTTAAGGCGAAGCTATCCTACCAAAGGAGCAGCTGAAGACATGTTTATACGAATTATCTCGCCACGCAACACATATAAGGATCACGAAGTGGAAGTGCACATAACTGCAGATGTTAGGGCGTGTCAGGGGGCGGGTATAGCATGACACCAGCCCTGTTCTTCATCAGTTGTTGAAGCGAGCGAGTGTCAACAGTGTGGAAACCTTACGGCATCGCGCCACGCAGCCCCTTACAAGACCTGGCGTATGCAGCGGACAATACTGTATTTTCAAGATACCATCTATCTCCGTAATCACGGCAGGCACAGATAAATATGCTTAGTTAGTCAAAATCACTTGCTCCAAAGCCTAAGCATATCACGATCTTAGTCCAACTTATTGAGCTTATTATGGTTTGTACACTTGGTGATCTCAACACTACATATACAGTCATGATCCCCGCAAACCATAGGGCACAGGACGGCGGCGGGGCCTAGAGCGCAGCCGCAGCAGATTTTCCAAGAAATGTAGTGGGCTTAGGATGACATCACTGTTGGAACAAGGCTGTCTGGCTGCGCTGCAGTCCGCGTCACATCGCACGCCTTATCGGTGGCGGGGATCATGACTGTATACTCCTTCACGATCGACTGAACACTAAATCCATCAGGGAAGGGGACTTCTTGTTAATTCATGTTAACAGAACGGATCATGATACCTATGTGAGAGGCATAGAAAAGACATCAGTTTTGCTTTGAATTTCTACTTACTCAAAGGTAGTTGGCACGATGGTTTCCTACTTAGCCTAAAATGCTAGTAGGGCGCTGTATAGTGGGGAAATGGCGAAAGAACGGAGTGAAACGGTCAAAATCCTGCGAAGAAAAAGCCTCTCAGTGACTTGTAAATCGATTTCGGACGAGTTTCCCGTAGGCATCTTACCAATCACCGCTACCGAAGATACGGCTGCATATGTGTACCCATATATCCATTTTCACTTTGAATTCACCCTTTTTCAAACCAAATTCGTCCTTTTTCAAACCAAATTCACCCCTTTTCAAACCAAATTCACCCTCACTTTTCATCAAGTTAACCACACTTAGGGCGGGCAACTCATCAACCAGATCACGCCAGACATCACTGCGAGCCCCGCCCCGACGGCCACGCCCACTTGTCAGCGCGGACATAGATTCTCAAATCTTGTTTCATAACTTCTGCTTTTGCTGTTTCCCACAAACACTTTGACTGGAAACGACCGGGCATTGACACATGGCCGACTCCGCCCATTTCTAAAGGGTTTGGCAATCTAGGCTGACCACGCCCACTTGCTTTTCGCGGACTTTCGATATTTTTTCAAAATTTTTGCATTTTAGGGCTGCTGCGTGAAGCCCCGCCCACTGTGAGAGGCTCCGCCCACTTTTCGAAAATGGTGCAGTATAAAGACTTGGCTTGCATGCTAGGGTCTCGTTCGTCACTCGGAACAAGAAAATCCGGCAAAGTTTATTCCGAATGATCAGCAATACCCTAGCATGCAAGCCAAGGCTCTATACTGCCGATTTGCATCATTTTTGAAAAGTGGGCGGGGCTTCTCAAAATGGGCGGAGCCTCTCATGGTGGGCGGGGATTCACGCAGCAGCCCTAAAATGCAAAAATTTTGAGAAAATATCGAAAGTCCGCGAAAAGCAAGTGGGCGTGGTCAGCCTAGATTGCCAAACCCTTTAGAAAATGGGCGGAGTCGGCCATGTGTCAATGCCCGGTCGTTTCCAGTCAAAGTGTATAAGGGAAATAACAAAAGCAGAAGTTATGGAAAAAGATTTGAGAATTTATGTCCGCGCTGACAAGTGGGCGTGGCCGTCGGGGCGGGGCTCGCAGTGATGTCTGGCGTGATCTGCTTGATGATGCCCGCCCTTATAAGTGTGGTTAATTTGATGTGAAAAGTGAGGGTGAATTTGGTTTGAAAAAGGGTGAATTTGGTTTGAAAAAGGGTGAATTTAAAGTGAAAATGGTATATATGCATGCAGCATCACGGCCGCTTCATACCAATCCCTTCGCTTCATAATTTGCTTAGCAAATGAATGAATACGAGCGTCAGGAACGGTCGTCCATTTGTGGGCGGGCGGGCGTGGCGGGCGTTTGGGACGTAAAGTTGTGGCTTGATAGGGCCCTTATAAGGGCACCTTTTCTCGGAAAACCGCTATGCAGCGCCTGCCCAGGGTCGCGGAATTCTATCCTGCCAGGTGTATTGATCCTAGCCGTCTTGTGGAATTTATCGTGCCAACTGCTTTTAGCAGAGGTGCGGAATCCATAATTCAGTACGATGCGTTCCTAGCAGTGGACAACCCAGCTGACTGGAGACTGTTTTAAGCGAAGCAAAAATTGTTGAAATACTCAACACAGTGTGCGACAAAAAACTAGAAATCAAGAAAACCAACAGTTATGAATATAACGGAAATTACCACTACAAACATAACTAGATGGAATACTGACTAAAATATATCATGTGGTAGATGACTTTGATTTCAAAGTTATTATCTTTCCACATGAGCTTACCAATATTTCAATAAAGTGTAGAGCCTCTATTATTTACACAGAACTTTCAGAATAGCAAACACATGATCCAACTTTTTAGATTTCGAAGAAAAATTAATATTATTCATAGACACTCTTACTGAGAATGGTTACTGCAAAGAGTTTATAGCTGCTAGTATATATGTCTTTATAAAAACAATTACATTGAATGCAAGTACTCTTTAACCCATACTATCAACAATCTAATAAGTTTAATAGGAAATATGTTTTGATTACTAAATTACGTAGTAGCAAGTTATTCATGATGCCAAACAGTGGTAATAATTTTGTTTTATATACATATTACCCTAATCTTTCAGGATACTGAGTTTCCATACACCGTTGTTTGTTAATTTTGATTGCCTCTGAACATCTTTCAGTATTTTCTCTGTAAACTCTCATAGGAAGTCATGATGCTCCATTCATCCTATTCGGACCGCCTTTTAGTGAATGCCACACACAGCATTTTCCCGCTCGTTTTTGTTCGAGATATTCCGTACCTAATGCAGCTAACCAGATCTTCATTTGTTTACTCCACCTTAATGTTTTGCCCCGCTTTTTACTTGCAACTCACGACTATTATATTATTATCCCCCGCATACGTCGATTCCAAATCACTGAAGAACCTCAGTTATTGACTGATGCAAACAATCGTACAACGAGGAAGTGAAACGAACTGTTTCTTAGAATAGCCCATGTTCGACTTTCTTGCAATCTAGGCATAATCTATATCGTTCTTGTATTTCTTCTAGCCTTTCCAAGATTGGGCCTTTCCAATTGCTTTATTAAAGGCCTACGTTTCGGCGTCTTCGCCTTCGTCAGAGCCTGAAATGGTCAAAAAATATTGACCGACCTCAGCAAGTTTTGACCTACCGAGAGGTCGAGGGAGGTTACCAGTAATTCTTACTCCACGCTTGAGCCTCTACAGGGTGGTCGTCCCTGCGTCACGCGTCCAAGATCAAGGTAAGCCAGCGTTCCGCCCTAGATCGATACCTGGGTGATTTACTGGTATGTGGAAATCGTCTTGAGTATTGTTGAAATGTTTGAGCGAGCAGGTCTCGAAATGTTTTTTGACCATTTCAGGCTCTGACGAAGGCGAAGACGCCGAAACGTAGGCCTTCAATAAAGTTGCTCAATCTTGGAAAGGCTAGAAGAAATACAAGAACTGTTTCTTGTGATTCTTCTCTCCTATTTCTGCATAATCTTGGTGGTGTCACCCTTTTATTGGCGTGACAGTGAACATACATTGCAACCAGTCGCTCACTGCTACATGGGCAACTGAATAAATTTGTGGCGTATCATATCGCTCGTAAGATTGACTGACAGATTCCTCTCCCCAGGTGAATTTGCGCCTCCTTGAGCTCTTTCTTGCCTAAGAGACAGCGCTTCAACCACTATCAAAAAGGCCATAATTATTTATTATATTACATTAACTTCATTAACTTGTGTCATACTAAGCACATTATATTATTATTATCCTCAACTCATAGAAAACCAGCTACTCGTGAAGCTTTCCTTTGCTTTTCCTTTTTTACAACAGGGCAGTATACACGATCTGGTCCCTAGATGAGGTCTCGAATCCCTTTCAAGCACGTTCTTTGACAACGCTGAAGAGTGGGATATCGATTCGTATTTCCGCCACAACCGCTAAACATGAACGTCACACACTTCTTCAAGTTTCTGTCGAACGCATACCTGCAAAACTCGTTGTTACACTCAGCCAAATCCATGGCAAACTGCTCAGCCCTGAAAATTCTGATTAAATACCTCAATAGCTTATCAGAACAGTTGCCCTTCTCGATGACGTATAGGCATCGCATCTTGATGGCAGTACCTAAATGTTTTTTTGAAGAGTTGTAATTGCACTCACTGTGAGATAACGCAGAATGGCGGACTTGCTTTGATCACGGTACGGGCTGTCGAGAAAGATCAAAGAAGATTGTTACTGCGAGCCGACACAAATACTGTATGGTTTCCCAGGTCCCCGCAACCTCAGCAGGTCAAATGTGAAAGTTTTGCCCTCTTTTGTGCCTTAGAAGTTTTTAGATGGAGCACTTATACAATATGGCTCAACGGTTATGGCTAAACTTTCACCTTCAGAAATCGAAGGTCCCACCGGTCCCCCGCGAACTCTTTAACGATGTGACCGCCGGCCTTCGAAGGCGACGGTTGGCCGAACTGCTGATCCGTACTGAATACAGGTTCCACATATGAATCACGTGAGGCACAAAAGGTGTGAAAACACTGTAGGGTCCCTCTAGCTAGACTTCGACCGTGCATATTATCCCTCTCGTGACGGTTGGCGAAAACTTGCTACTGATCATGGAGAGTCAACTCAGGAATATTGTACCTCGAGCCAATCATGTGGTACACCTTCTATCCGCGCAGCGTGTGTTACACTTTGCAACGTAGACGTTCACCGTGGAGCCACCACAGAAAAGGCCCGCCCCACCCATTTGCATTTTCGGACAGGTGGCTGTCATGAAAAAGGTTAATAACTTCGCAACGACTTTCCTAGATGTCACTCCATGTGAAAGGCTGGAAACTATCACCATCAGTTAATGCAGACTTTCGTGTAGGAAAAAAAGCTGATACAGATTAATGTCGTGACTCCGTCACGATATTACAACATAGTGGGCAGAGCGCCATATGAAAGGAGGTAAAATACCCCCTCGGGGGAGTCGGTGTTGTGTCCTGGTCGTAGCCCGTAGTGTATGGGGAATCTTACCGCTACGTAGTCTCTCGAGTGTGTGCTTATTTCGATTGTATTGGTGCTTATACTTGGCTATCAATAAAGTAGATGCTGTCTATGAATTATGTTGAAGAGGGGAGTAACAACATGGTGCATCGGGGATCGACCCTCTACCACGGACCCCTCGTTGAACGGAAAAAAGCTCCCCACCACATTTCCGACCCCACGACGTCGACGTTTCTCGTTGAAATTAGGTATTTTCCTGAAGTCATGCATGAGGGGTGTCAACCACCAGAGTGTTGACCGAGCGGTCGAATAGAAGACGCTTGTTACCTGCCATTAGTTGAGGACTAATGCGCATTATTTGAGTCCGCTAATGTTACAACGTTCAAGTAACTGTTACAGTATATGCATTCATTCTCTGGGAAAACCACGAAGTCGGGCGCAACATGCACGCCGCAAACCACGCAATTTCGCACGCTTTAAACTAAGCACGCTTATCTGATTCTCCCGCACAAGTTATGTATAAAAACGGGTGACACATGAGCATTTTTTACAGGGTTAACTTTTAAAGTTTTATTCTATGTCAGCTATGTCGCTATATGACACCGTAACGGCATTAGGCCAGTTAAAACGACGAATGACCACGACATCTCAATGATGTCAAAAATTTAATTCTTTACTGCGAAATGTACAGAGAAGGTTGGTTTTTGCCAGCGCAACGTAACGAAATGGTGGCGTTTATTCGTTTTCACAGATCTTCCGTAACTGCTATTGTAGACGTACTCTTGCAGAAAACTCTACGATTATCGAATTATACGGTCGGGCACTCCAAATGTTTCAGAGCGAAACCACTTCACTCGACCTGACCCAAGAGTTCCTGACGTACTGGGAAAACCAAGATGGATTACGAACCGTACACAATGCATTTGCCTTGGTTGTTGCCTTAGAGATTCGCCTGGCAGAACTCGAAATGTACTATATTTATCTTTATTTGGGTATGTTCTGAGGGCAAAGTACGATAACACGTACTATCGCAAAATGCCCACCGGTTTTAAGTTTGGGTCACCTAGTACCGTATCACTTGAGATTTCACAGCAACACTACGGATGTCAAACGCGTATTACACTGGATTTTCCCACGAAATTTCATTACACAGTGTAAAATAGGGACAAATTTTCGCACGATCATGATGGTGTAAACTACGAAACGCACAAGCACGCACGGAGGGCCACGTCATATTACACTATACTATGGCAGTATAAATACCGGATCAGGCGTCCAAAGGGCTTCATACCAGTATTGCTTGAAATTTTCTCTTGCTTGAGTCACCCCACCAATTCATGGACCTTCCGTCCCCCACGTTAACCACTTCTAAGCAGAGATTAAGCCGTCATTTGAACGATGTAGGCCACATGTTATCGGAATGCGTAAAGTATCAAGAACCGTGGGACTTCCCTACTACCCGAAAAGAACTCTATGTTTTCATACGTACTCATCAAAACGTCATTCGTAATATTGTGATGAAAATCGAAACGAAACTTGAAAAAATCACGACCATTTATGGGGAAACTCTGGCAAACTTTGAGAAAGGTATCTTCCCTAGAAACTGATAAGGCTAAATTTGATGCGTACTGGAAAGAAAAACAAGGGAACGAGCTCTTAGAGAATGCGCAGAAACTGCTTCAAAGTCTTGATATGCGCGAAAACGAACTAGCCTTGCAAGACATGCATATTTCGTACTCAGACGAATTCGATAACTTCCGTACTAATCAGTCCAACGTCCATCCCACTCCTGCTCAGGCTCAACCCTCCCATTTGTTTCCGCCGTTGGGTACTTCGCTAAAGCCCTCGCCAATGACCACTATTCCAGCGTATAGAAGAGTTGGGAAATGATTCAAATGTTTTTCTTCTATGCACACCAGCACGAACTGCAGAAAACCTGATTGCTACAAATGTCAGGGTCCGCATAATATCGCCCTATGTAGAGCTGCTAATTATAGGAGCCGCAGTGTTAGTAAGGATCGAAATGACAGGGCGCAATCTCGAGAACGAAGAGACATACGCGTAAAAGAAAGGCGAGATAGTAGCGCAAGTAGACCTCAACAGTCATTCCGTAAATCTTTTGAACGCAACTCTCGGGTACTTCTTCCCCGTCAAGCAACCCCTAATACTTCTCCCCATGGACAATGGAGACGCCCTCGATCTCAGACTCCAGTAGCGCGTATCAACACGGTTGGGGACAGAATCATCCCAGTAAATACAACAACGTCCTCCAATGTCAGCTCAGAATTGCGGGACGGAGAAGAAGAAATCGTTCATCTCTATCGTACTACGGTAAGTTCTGCAGATATTAGTTCACGGTTAATGATTATACAAATAACGCTACGTAATCCCTCAATG